CCCCCCCCCTTCCCTCTCTGGTCAAAGCATAAACCGCAGAGTTACCGTCTCCTCTCGATTTTGGAGTATCGCTTCCTGCCCCCGCCTCCCCTCCCCGCCCCGTTCTCTGTCCTATTGAAACACCTCGCCCAGCCTGGCGCACAGCAAGCTCACATTCTGCCCCTGGCTCGGGATGGCGTGCCTGGAGGCTCTGCAGCCGGGCTCCACTTCAAATGGGTGAGTTCGAAAAAACGCTTTGCCTTCCGAATACCTCCCTAGCCTGAAAATCCTACTTCCCCCAAACCCAACCTCTTAGGATTTTTGCATGCGGCATGCTTGCCCTGGGGGAGCGCAAAGGCTTCTAATTTACTTCTTGGTCCTCTGTGGTAGTTGCAAAAGAAAGCTTTGAAAAGACATTCAATCCCGGTTGTATTTGTAGATCGTGGTTAAAAACACCAAAACCAGAAACAAAAAACGGCATCTGTGGTCCTGTTCACATGATTTTCCATTTTAGTAAATGGTTTTGCCCAAAGCTTGAAAGTGTTTTCTCTGATACGACTTGCGTTTGTATGTTCAGGTATGTATGATTCCCAGACACTGCGTATGCGTGGCTGTATGTATGGATCTGAATTTTGTGAAGGGAAGAGGCATTAGAGTGCTAGGACATAGCAACGGCGGACCACCTGTTTGCTGCATTTCAGTCCTGAGCCTCCAACAGAAACTGCCTGTCATTCTTGTTTTGCTTTGTTTTGTCTCAAGAAAGAAAGAAAAAAAAAATGTGTTGCGCTCCTCTCAGTCCCTGAGACCCTAACTTGTGATGTTTACCGTTTAAATCCACGGGTTAGGCTCTTGGGAGCTGCGAGTCGTGCCTTTGCATCTTGGAAATTTGATGGAACTTTTTTGTCTTTTAAGAAAAAAAAAAAAATCAAAAGAAAGAGAAAGTTTGTCTGGAGTGATGGAAGCACACCTCTGAGGCTTCCATTGTTAGATGGGATCAGGTGACCAGAGGGTGGCAGTCCCTGGCTCCTGTAAAAGTACGTATAGACTGTTAGCATCGTGTGTTAGCTGCTATGGACGCCTATGTGTTTGACTGACACCAAGACTTGTGAAAACTCATCTGCAGGGTCTATTCCTTGAGAGCAACACGCAGTACTATGAGAGCGTAACACCAACAGCTCAGTACCTGGTGCTTGACCTCAGAACGTCTCAGCTGAATTCCCAGCATGCCCCATGCCTTCAACTTTTAAGCTCAACAGTTAATCTCAAAATTGTGCCCAATTAAAATGGGCATGGGAATATATGATAGCGGCATTGTCTACACATGTGTCATATGTGGCTAGACACATAACATCAATGACTCAGGTACAAGCACACCAGCATTTGGGCTAAATTATCAGTAGGTTAAACATTCAAGTCGTGGCATTCTATGCAAAGCAAGGAAATTAAAGGATTAGCAAAGATAAAATTTGTATTACTTTGCAAGATTTCTCAAGAATCAATTGGTACCTCTTTAAAATGTTATTCTTGATGAATCTGAAAGTGATAAGGATCAGAAATATGTTTTCTGAATATATGAAATGAAGAAACATCTGCAACATAGTCAATATTATTATATTCTTCAGGAGTAATCAGTGTGTATAACTCAGATTTAGGAACTGGAAAGATTTTTAATCAGGATTTTAATTCATCCAATGAAGTTACTCATAACGCTAAACCACATTTAAAAATTATCCTCTCTTGAGGCAATTGTTAGCATTTCCTAGTTTGTAGTTTTCTGGAACTTTTCATAGCAGGATGATTTCAGAGATTAAGGTCTGTGTCATATTGGGAAAGAAAAACAATATCCTACCTTTCCTTTGTTGTGAGCTGGCATACAATTTCCTTTAAACAGTTTTGATGTTCTCAGCCCAACCTTTCTCTCCATTTTTGGAAACTACCTAAATCAACCCAGATTTCCAATGCTTTCTTCTGAAGATTTTATAATGGTTGCAACTCATTTTATGCATGTAGTTTAAGGCTAAGGAAGTCCTTTTCCTATTTTTGTAAGTGCTTATTTGCAATTTTAGTCATTTATTCCAAGTTGCAGTCAAGAAAAAATTTTGTTTGAGAAAACTGAGTTGAGAAAAACTGGGCAATGATTGTACCATGTCTTTTGTTGAAATCTCTTGCGTGGCTGTAATACTTAACTATTACTTTCCAGCCTTTAATAGAATGTACTTCAAAGAATAGAGTCAAGAGATTTTCTTTTAGTTTATATGAAATGATTAATGCCCCCCCATACACATTTTCAACTAATGTGCATACAGAGCTGTCTGGAAATTATGGCAATGTATCTATTTAATTTATGGACACATGTTACCACATGATACATAGGAAATACTTGCAAATATTTGGTGCTTTTTGAAGTCAAAATTTGTCTGCAGTTAATCCTACAGAAATGTCTGTGTGGATCAATAAAAACATGCTAGCTGTAATTTTCCTGAGATTTCAAATCATAACAGGTAATCATTTAATACACGTATGTTGGTGTGTGTTCTGAGGCACTCCTTCGGGGTTTTTTTTCCATGTTTTCAAGTGGATTGCTCATATTCCCCGGCTGCTATCATAACATTGATCACCCAGGCATCCAGGAGTGCATACAACACACAGATTTTTATATTTCAGCAGGCAACTGCTTCAGTGCAAGCCCGGGTTTCTCCACACCCCTTCTTCCTCATGGAGCCCATCAGTGAAGTTCAGTGAAATGAATAACATAATTGGTGGTTGGTTCAATCACTACCAGTCTAGACTAGCCCAGACGCATCAATTAGAGGGGACTGTCTTTTAAAGGGAGAGTGTAACCGAAACAAGCCGGGCATTATTGATACTGATCTTTAAAAGCACAAATCCAGCCTGGCAGATAAAAAAGAAATAAGGCAGGGAGCTGGGGTGGGGGTGCAATGGGGGAAGAAAAAAGAACCAAGTGAACTGGAGCTTTTGGGCACAGAAGGACAGGAAGCTGGAGAGAAAGGGAGGGATAATGAGTGGAATGCGGTCCTTGGAACACAGTTACAATTCAGTTCACAGGGCATGATGGCTCACCGTATTTTTAACTAGGTGCACCCCACACACACACTACCACCTCCTTAAAAAAATTCCTTTTTTTTT